TCACTATCAAAACGCCTCTGCGCTTCTAACGCACAATGACTTACTCGCTTGTGTGGTTGATTGTAACTTTTGGACAATGTCTGCGACGAACTCGCAGAAAGCGGTAGAAGGGCTAGACAGTCAAAACAAAGTAAAAAGTTTAAACGACCCTCTTGGGTTTATTGTGCTACAAACATAGCTGCCTCTCTTTCTCGATTCTCAAAATAAACAAATCATTCTTGGTTCTTGTTAGAGCGAAATATTTTTGCTTATATTAAATCCCTCATTGACTATGCCAAAGATAAAATCTATCTTAACTCGAAGTCGTTTACCGTCGTTTCTTTCAATTTGGCTAATTTTCTCACGCTGAAATTATCATACCCACTCAAGCGTTAATCTGAAAAAGAATACCTTCCCTACCCTCAAAATCATCTGTTCAAAACATCAGGAACATTAATTTAGCGGACGGTGCTTATTTACCCCGATGATCACCTAGTGTCTAAAACATTTGGTTTTCAAACTATATTTTTGCTTTGTAAACGGCTCATTTTTAAACCCGTGCTAAGATTGAAAGGTTTTAAAATAATTTTTTTCTTTGAATTTCTGTCTGTCCGTTCTCAAGGTCATATTTCAGAGTATCCGGCGCGGATTGTGTAATACCGCTGCGATGAATTGTCTTAATTCAAAAGGCACATCACGCTACCTTTACTCTTTCTCAAGAACAATAGAAGGACTCGGTCGGAGTGCAACCTCAGTCGCCTTCCTATCATTACGCTAATCAGTCTCATTGGGCACCGCCAAGAAACTTGACTTTCAAGGTAGGTACATAACAAGACTAACCACCATTTAGATGCATCTTTCTTGACAGAACAAGAAAGATCGCTACGTGTTGTCGCTTTCTGATCGATGTCCCTCGTTAGTCGCTTTTTAAACAGTCTTAATAGAAAAGAGAAAGCAAGTACCTTCACCAAATACCGACTGTGACGATGGCTCATCGCGGAAAACAAGAACATTTTCTAACCTTTTTCGCACGGTAAAAGAAATATCTCTCGAAGTCTAACAGTAGAGGCAAAGGGTTGCAGTTAAGACCATTTAATGGGTTTTAAGACTAAGGAAAGTACATAACTGCGGGACTTTTCAAAAGCCTTCAGCTGCCAATATTCCTGCGTCATCACTTTCGATTTCTTCCAACATAATGTCCATCGCAGCTTGTGGTATATTTTATAAAAAGGGTAATGAGAAATTAAAATAAATTGTCTTATGTATTGAGAAGAAAACGCAAAGAATACGCCTTTATCTGCTGTCGATTAACGGGTTGTATCCCTGAATATAGGCAATGTTGAAGTTTATGTAAATTCTGTTTGGAA